CAGATCTAATTCCGCCTTTAACTTCCTGTTTCTCCTGCAGTCTCTGTATGAGACCTGGTTCATTGCCCTCTACACCGTCTTATACTCCGCCTCCCCCGTTATGTGCATGGCCGTTTTGGAGCAGGTCAGTCAGTGTTTTTTAGTCCCCACATCTTCAGGAAAAAGAAGAAAAAAACAACACCTCTGTAGTGAAGGCAGCTGCTTTGTGTTTTAGGACGTGAGTGCGGAAGGCAGCCTGAGAACACCTGAGCTCTACAGGTGTGGACAGACTCAGGAGCTGTCCAGCCCCGTGAAGCTGGCTCTGTATCTGCTCTACGCCGTCTACACCTCCCTCGTTCTCTTCTTCATCCCGTTTGGGGTTTTCAACAACACGGCCTTTGACTACCAGACCATGGCAGTCACCGTCGCCATGGCAGCCACCCTGGCAGCAACAATCGAGGTCAGGATCTCCGTTTCACAAGCACAATGGACCTTTAGAAACCTCCACCGGATAGTTTACTCTGCAGTCTTTTATCGTCTCAGGATGAACTACTTTTAAATAAGATTATGACATTTCTAACAGGCTCATTTACTCAAAGATGATCAACCCCAGAGAAAACAACATAACTAGGAAATCATATTTATTAGCACCGATTTTAGACCTTCTTTAGATCCCAAATTCATACATTTCCTCCCACTAATGCCTCCTATTCTCACATCTGATTAAAAAGATTACTATGTTTACATTTACATTTACATTTCTGCACTTAGCAGACTTACAAAAAGAGGGTTTAACATTCAGCCCCAACATCAGTCCCACACTTACCTTGAGTGCAATATGCCAAGAGAACACTCAACATTAAGGATTTAACATTAAACTATGACATAGAATATATATGTACCATACATTTATGCTACATGCTATTAGGAAATTAGTGCATTTAGAGATTTCAGTTTAGTTTTGTTTAGTTTAGTTTTATTAGTATCCCCATTAGCTGCCAAATAAATGGCCACTAGTCTTCCTGGGGTCCTCACATGAAAAAATTACATTACATTATCAGGACACTATTAAAATCTAAATTTAATAGATAGTTTTTAATGATTTAATTTCAAATAAAGACTTTTAATTAAGGTTAAATAAATAGTTAGTTCAGTAAAGAACAAGAGATACTCTCGGAAGAGCTGGGTCTTTAAGGATCTCTTGAAGGAGGAAAGAGAATCTGATGCTCTGATAGTATTGATAACTATGTTATTACTACTTGTTATTAATACTTTCATCTATCCGGCTGCTTAATAAGTTGATGATAACTGTAATGTTGCATGTAAGTTGCGTTGGATAAAAGCTAAATCTTAGTATCTACATTTTGAACTATGCAAAACAGTCGTGAATTATTTTAAAAAGTGTTTTACCGTTAACCTGTGGTGGCAGATTGTGCTGATTACCAGATACTGGACGAAGGTCAGTGTGGCGGCCGTGTGCCTCTCGGTGGTGATGTTCTTCATCTGCACCAGGATCACCCACAGCGCCCCCCTGTTCCGGAGGTCGCCCAGCGACTACCTGTTTCTGGGTACGTGTTAGCACGATTCTTTAGTTGGAAACCTGAGAAAAAAACCAGAGTGGATCTGGGTCACAGGCAAAGTGTATCAGCTGGGCTCTAACAGACAAAAACCTCTCTCTGGGTCTCAGTGGGCAAAGAGCCCTGAGATCTGGGTGATGGGCATTATCTCCTGGGCTCGATCCGCTTCCTCAAAGGAGGACTGGACACAATCAAGTCCTATTGGCCAGTTACCTCTGGGCATGAACAGGCCAGGTCCTAATTCATTCAGATGACAGGAATGTGGTAACAAATGGTGTGTGTGTTTGTGTTGACCTAAAGGTGGATCTAATGCAACAGAGAGGGGAAAAGAGATAGAATGAGAGTCTGTTGCCAGAGACTGTAACACAAAAATATAGTTCTATAAGGAATACAACAATCAGTAATTTACATAGATCATGTGATAGCATACGATGCTAAAAGGAGTAATTATAGCCAAATTCTAACATATGTGTTGACCTAAAGGTGAATCTAATGCAACAGAGAGAGAAGAAGAGAGAAAAGAGAGTCTGTGGGCACAGCCAGAGACTTTAACACAAAATATAGTTATAAAAGAAATAAGACAATCAGTAATTTGCATAGATCATGTGATAGCATACTATTCTAAAGTGAGTAATTATAGCCAAATGCTAATACGTCTCTACTTTATCTGGAGAATCCCGGTCTTTTCCTTTGTGGATGCCTTTAGGAGCCTTTGGGACTTCTCAGCTTAGCTGCTGTCAAACTGAGACCAAAAACAAACACACACATCTGTGTGTACCATTCCCGGTTTGTGTTTGCTTGGCGTTGTTTACCCCAGGTGTGTCCGATAAGGCCTTCACCGATCCCGTCGTGTGGCTCACGGCGTTCCTCACCGGCTGGACGGCCGTTCTGCCCTCGTTCACCGTCCTCGCCCTCAATGTCATTCTCACCGTCCACCACAAACACAAGGTGAGGTTCCTGTTTGTGTTTGTGCCATTAGAGAACCAATCAAATGTATCCACAATACAAGCTAAGGCTTCAGTTAGGAATGTGGTTGATAAAATTAACTTGAATTAATGGACCACATTCTCCAAATAACTGTTAAGAGCAGCCATTGCAAACAATTAAATATCTTTTTCTTAACCTGTACTGCCAAATGTATCATATTTGATTCATACGGTTTCTGAAATCTTTTGCTTCTGACACATTTTGCATAATTTAATGGTAAAAACTTTGCTCAAAATCATAATATACACAATCAGATACACCTGATAACAGGGGGCAGAAGACTACACAAAAAATAATCTTGACTCATCGCATAGTAATAAATTATTAATATTAAAAATGTTTTTCTGTTTTTTCTTTTTACATATTTTGTTAAAAGGCCAAATAAGGAATTCAAACAAAAAAAAAGTGATTTTCTGTTTTTTTTATATTCTTGGATCAGGCTTTAAAGGGTTAAAGAGTTAGCCCTTTAATGCACAGTGGTCACTACAGTGGACAGCTGTTTTAAAGCTATTTAAATGTTAATAAGCCACTGAAGTGGACACATCATGCAGAAAGAAATGTAAAACGTCATTAAAGAGGAGCTGAGAGAGACAAAAAATAAATCCAGAGGGTTGAATGAGCAGGAAAGACAAAAAAGGAAGAGATAGCAGTTAATATAAAGCTGCATGCAAAATTCTCTGTTTATGCATTCTGTAAATGTAAAAATATGTTCGCATTGTAACATTTAATTGCCATATCACCTTTTTTATGCCCCAAAAAACACTCGGAAAAAAATCCTGACCGAAATCATCATAATTGATGCATGAGAGGGTTAGATATTTCAACAATTTAGTGAATATTGAGCGGACTGCAAAGTTTTCTGTGTATTCATTCTGTTGAATATCAAAATATTTTTACGATGTAACATTCTTTTATTGTTAAGAAATCACATTTTATGCCTCAGAACCGGTTTTGAAAATAAAAAAATGACTGAAATCATCATAATTGATGCATAAAAGGTTAGATATCTTAGATTCTGAGCCGGGTTTGATGGAGGTCCCTCTCCCCCTGATTTAGGTCCACATCACATCCCCTCAACCAGTGGAGCTGAGGTCAAACTTTGGCAGAGGGACGTCTCTCCGCAGGTCCTCCTACGCCATCTCTCAGGGGGCGGGGCCTGGGCGCGTCATCACCTCCGCCTCCAGCAGCCACAGGCAGCGTTTGATGGAGGAGAAGGAGACCCAGAAACCCAAAAAAGGCCCAGACTCACCGGGCCGGCCCACTAACGAATAAAGATGAAGTCATTCCGCATCTGTTGCTTATTCTTCTGTTTTTTACTTGAAAATATTTGATCATATTGATTGTTTCTGCAGGATAGAACTGAGAAAATGAGATTTTCTGTATTTTAAACTTCATTTTCTACTCCTTGTGAGGCCGCAAGGCCACTTTGCAGCTGTTTGTCTAATTAAATTAATTCTGGGAAAAAATCAGATTATGTACCATAAATCCTGCTGCCTGCCTTTGTACTGATGATTGTTTATTTAATATCTTTGATCCTTTTTTGTGTAGAATTGTAATTCCTCCTTATTGAGGTCACTCTGGACTTCTTTTGCAGATCAAACCAAACACAATAAAGCACCGGCGCCACTTTGTTTTACAATTGTTTTATTTGTTAATTTATTTCAAAACACGCAATTTACCCATATTATCCTTTTAAGTTTTTATTTTTCTGTAACAGTTATTACTCAGATTTTTTTCCTTCTCCAAAGAGTCTCAGCTAGAGTGAAACTAAAAGTCCTCCACAGGCTCTCCGGCTTCTGCAGTGGGAGGAGGGAAGAGAGGCTTTCTGATCAGAATCCAGTGGGTTTTGTCCCCCGTCTCCGTGTGTGTGTGTGTGTGTTGGGGGAAAAACGGTTTGTGTGTCTGTTTGTGTGTGTGTGTCGGTGTGCGTGCTTAAGTGCAAGAAGTGGAATGTCCACAGGGTGGGTAAATCACAAAGACCCGTAGAGCTGAACATCGTCTTCTAGGTGTGGCGGCCAGATTGTCATACCTCTGATTTCATCTTTGGTTTCCGACAAACACTCTCCAAAGGCAGACTCGCCAGCGTGTGTGTGTCTGTTTGTGTGTCTGTCTGTCCGAGTGCAATATAAGCCACCGTCTGCAGACGACTTTGTAAACTTAAGCGGAGTACAATGTCAGTGTCTTTGCATTGATTGTGGCCCTTCCTTGGCGCTGGGGACAAAGACAATCAGACATTGTAGGCCAATGG